ACAGATTGGATATGATCTTTCATACCCAAGGTTGTAGTATTGTCACTATCCTTCTCATGAGATGTGAAGCTAGAAGTCATCTGTTCATACACTCATACCTTTCATCAGCACACACAAATGAAACATAGTCCATACTTTACTGTTATGGACTTCAGCTTAGTCAATGTTTCCAATAATTTGCCAAGTTATTAATGTAGTTTGGTATTAACTTAACAACTTCAACATAAGATGATTTGTCATGCTTTCACATCCATACTTGTCAAATAAAGATATTCCACCATAGATTAATTGTATTCTCCCAGCACCACCATTGTGACTATGGTTTAATCTATCGTGCAATAGAATAATATTGATGTATTTGAAGACATGAATGGTGTTTCTGTATGTGTGTTTGAATATTTAGTGAGGTTTGTAATATGTCAAATGTCACATATTTATCAACTATATGTGATGTGTCCATAACTTGTCCTGATTCATGACACATCCATCAATAACATCCACACTTCAAAAATACTTCCTTCTTGAGGGATGAAATTACTCAATGAAATCTATTAGCATAGAGGATATAATGACTAGGGCCAGACACCATTGTTATATAATGAGTAAAGTGAGTAATATTGTTTGTATTATAATTACCACTGTTTTATTAGGCACCTAAATGAACAAAGGGTCATACAAGAATGTGCAAGCCTATAAATATTTCAAAAACTTTGCCAATATTTGCTGTATCACATAGAACAAGGAGCAGGATACACAGGAATTGTCTATAGGAACCATCAGTGAGTAGTAGTGGATTTTTGTTCAACACTGCTAACTTACCTAAGGGCGACAAAATGCTCTCTACCACAATATACAACTCACTCATGATACCAAAATTTGAACTATCGGTTAATATGAAGGAAGTAGATAACACCGAGGGAGAGAGCCCCTTCAGTAAACTTTTTTCTGATATATAGGGCCACCTAAAGTTGATAATCTGCCCAGTAAGACAGATCACCCAAGGTGGGCCCAAATGAAGGTATACCAATGGGGAGGGGTGGGCCTAGTATGTGAGATAAATACCTGTGCTACTGATATGGATGGTTGGGCCCATACAATGAATAGTATACCCATACTGATGGCAGAGCCGATATGAGTAGGCGAGATATAGGGATGGAGCCCAGTGCCTGTGCTTTCGAGATGGATGAATGAGGCCCATACAATAGTACACCTATATGAATATGGATGGTAGGGCCAATATGACTAAGCAATATATAGGGATGGGTCCAGACAAATGTACTGCCAAGGTGAACAACTGAGCCCATAACTAATACAACCTATATTAATTACTAGTAAGGCCGATATGATAAGCCAAGATATAAGGATAGGAGCCAGCTGCTGGTGCAGCCAAGGTAGACTATTGGCCCACACATAGTACTACATGATCCAAAAGCTTAGAATTTCTTTCCTCTGAAATGTATGCTAACCTGACTCCATGTCCATGTTAATGCATGTGGACCCAGGATTATTCCTACTGAGATACCTCATCAGCCAATATGAAAGGACACAGTCCGTGTACCACCTGTGTGATATCATTAGTGTCATCAATAGTAACAAACATGTGATGTGATGTTTGTTACTAACTAGGGGGAAAGTCTATGCGCAGTACTAAGCAGTGTGTACATATGCAGGCTGTTTTTCTTAATGGAAGTTGAGAGAAGGAAACATTGGATTCATAAGAATGTACCTTTTATTTGTTCTGCTTAGCACTGTTGTTCTGCCAAAATGGTTACACCTTATCTGCGTAAAGGAGGCAGTCCACAAGGATGTTGACATCTTCATTCAATGCATGAAGCAGTGACAGTGATGGTAGGAAAGAAGGTAGTGCCTGTTGGTGGTTAGTCTCAATACTGAACAATAAAAATACTCACCATATACATGTATAACTACATATATATCAAACTAAACAAAGTTGCAGAAAGAAACATTCAAAAGTAGTTGAGTTTGAAGGGTATTTTATACTCATTATGCCCAGCGATGAGCATGAAGGTTTGTAGGATGTGGGAAAAGGTGAGGAGGTGTCAGGAAGTAGTGACTATGTGTTGCTAGTGGTAACTTCTGCTCTTGGCTTTGTCTGATGACTATTATTCTACCCTACCTAAGTTATTGCCGAGTACTGCAGAACTTGCTGAAGTACCGCAGCATAGACTTTCCCCCCTAGTTAGTAACAAACATCACATCACATGTTCATTACTAATTAGTAACACTAATGGTGTTGCACAGATGCAGTGTACTGCAGACAATAGCAGGTTTGAATAACGGTATCTATGAACTATTCCATAGCTACCTGAAGCTCGTCTATATATACAAATAACCTTTATTATGTTGACCAGAGTACATTGTCTTGGATGCTGATACCACCGAGGTTGTGTCATATCCCACAGTCAAATTAGGATGATAACTATTAAACCATCTAAATACTTATACTACCAAGATCATAGTACAGTCAGCTATATAGGGCCTGTTGAAGGGCTTCTGCAGTTATGAAAACCAAAGAATTTCTTCAATAGGCCTGGTGGTATGGAGACAATCTGTTGCACATAACTGCAACTCTGGTATAAATGAACACCCAATGCTTGAGGTTTTGGTACATGTCTTCCAACCTCTGAGAAGCAGCCCAATTACTGAGCTCGATGTGAGTTTGAACTGAAGCCCAGTATTGCTGCAGATGCATACTATTGCACCAATCCCAAAGCTCCATCTACACCAACACATCCCAACTTGAATATCCAGGAGCCTGACCTAAGGACAAGGAAGAGAAAAGAAAAGGATTGAAAAGGAAGAAAGAAAAGAGAGTAAGGAGACTTGAATTATTGGCATTTTTGATTATATAAGCTTTTCCACCGAACTTCATCCAACATCACATGACTGCTTCTATCATCAAAAATGGGAGATTTCACTAAGTCCCTGCCACACTATGGTACCAGACATTAACATCAGTATAGTAGTGTAGTATACATTGTACATCATAAAATATCATAGTTTATTTTAATATATATATCTAATGTAACTACTGAGGAATCAGTTAGCAGTACATTGTTGTTGGACAATAGATAAACATCAGACATATTAAATGTTGAGCTCATTGTAGTGTGCAGTGAGTGGGCATTTCCTAATTAGGCAATAGGGTGCTAGTGCAGATGTCTGCCTCAGAAAGTCTGCTCTTTTGTAATTTAATATTTACCTGAAACATGCAAGTCAGTACTTAGTAGCCATCACAATACAACAAATTTCTCAGAATGCCCAAACATTGCCCCTAGTCTAGGGTTGTGATTGCAAGTTGCTCACTATCACATGGCTCTGCACTAATCAGAGCTTTCAACCAATGGAACTCATTATATGTTACCAGTTTGATCCACCTTGATTATAAGACTTTTCTTGCCACATAAACATGGTACTGCTATATAGGTTCAAGCATGCTGGTTCAGAATTGGTTCAGAAAAAGTATCAAACATGAGTCTGAATGCTTCTATTAAGATTCAGTAAGCCATGTAATTACCTACTTGATTGTAATTTCATTGATAACCCTTGTTTGCATAGTTGTCCTCATGATCTGTCTTCACCTTTCCATTTGATGGTGTCATCTCCACTATTCTTCAGCCCATGTTTTGGGCATTTGGAACATAGAAGTTATAACATAGTGAGTTGCTCTTTTCTATACTTATATTGTAGCAGTCTACAGGCTTCTTTTGAGATTCAATCAAGGGGTTTCATTCCAGATACTAATGAGGCATACCAAAACTCGGTTGCTAAGCAGGCTCACAAACTTAGGGCATTTCTATAACCTCCAACTCACCCATCCTAAGAATTTGTGGCTATGCAGAGTGACAATAACAAAGAAGTAATGCACCAAGTTATCAATAACTTATGTCAAGATGAAGTTATCTTCCAACACTGCAAAAACCTCGACCATTGTACTAAAATTTGAAATATAAAGAATGTTCTCATCGAGTTTAAGAAGAAAGGATACCTGGATAATCAAGGTATGTGTCATATTGATCTATTACTTTCTAATCCAAATTGGAATCATAGGTCGCTGGACAGCAGACATAGGTTGTCCAGATCTGAAAGTACCACATGTTACCCGCCAACTTGGTGCATATCTACAGGTATGATGGGTTTGGAGACATCCATCATGCATGACAATAGACAATTTATACAATCAAAAGTTTTTGGACTGGTTATAATTGATATGGTACTGTGTATTAGTAATAACCTTCATAGGTGTGGGACCGTGGCTCATCAAGTCATGTTATTGCAATGGTGCATCACAGAGGCATTACAAACCATTAGATCTTGGGAGTTCATGAAGAAGTGGCTTATTATGCAAGCTGATACCTCAATGTGGAATATGGGCCTCATGCATCCAACACAATCAGACTGAGAGCCATTGATAATATAGAGCTTGGCGATAATAATGGGATTCAATATGGCCTACTATATGATCATGCCTTTTCTTCATGGTCTATATGATTCACCACAATTTCATCAAAAGTGAGGCTTCTGTCAAAGATCTTTAAACCTTCTGCACCAGCTGCTTCAATGCCTCCCTTGTAACAACATACTATCCAAGATCATTGCCGCCTCCTTGTGCCTATTCATACCTCCCCTGTGCTTGCTTGTGTTCCCTCCATTTTGCCTCACACTCCCCCTGAATGTCCTCCTATCCTACTTTTTGACATGACATCCACTTCCATAGTCCTATTGCGGTCAGACATTCCACTTGTTTCGACTTCTCAATATAATTCATCTATTGCCATCATGTGGAGGACAGAGGACAGGTAAACAGAAACATAGAGAATGGTGGTCGCAGCAGATACAAAGGTTACTACTGTATGCAATAGTATTGCTAAAGCTACTATTAGGAAACCTTCATCCTCCACTTACTGCCAGTGGTCAGCCCTCTTCACATCCAATCTCCTCCCACACTCACAAACACATTCTGAGTGCTTCTGTTCAAGATGTACCAAACAACAACCTACCAAGCAACTTGCTTGTTATGTGCCCAAGGTGCACATTAAGCCAAAAGATGTGTGCAAAGTCTCCAAGTCAATGTTACAGGCTACAGGTCTTCAATGACTGATGAAGATTTGAGATGGCTTTGCAGACAAGGGTGGCATCTATGAGCTAACAGTCAGTATTAATTATCAGCCTCTTGTTGCACTGCTAATCACATTTTGTGTATAGGACTCATGCATGGATGGCAATCGAGATAATGCTAGCTCAACAACCAGTGCAGATGTTATTCACCGTGAGATTGTCTATGATCTGGAGGGATACTATTATGTCATCCTTACCCTCGCTATCATGTTAGACATACTGTACACATTGAAGAGAGTTCCAAACCCTTATATGACAAGTGGCATGGAGATGTGGCTCTACTGGTGGCTTGAAAACACTATTGAGATGGAGATTTGGTACAAAGTACTGAGAAATGACACTTTCTTGCTACTGATGCAGGGTTTTCTATGGTGGAAGGGCTGTTGGGTGAGTACTGGGTGATTGAACCTATGAAGATGATGTTGAAGGAGATGAGATAGCTTCTTTTTACTAATCCTACACCAAGCCACTCAAGAATGCTCGACATCATCAGCTAGGTGCTTGTCTAGATACATACTAACCTTGATCTTATTCATCTCTGCAAGCCACAGCTTATGACAACAGAGTGGGCAAAGGCAACTGGTGGTAACAAAGTTGCAAAATGTTCATCCACCCTTTCTGCACACTGCAAATGAACTTGTTGTATCAGAAAGAGCATCAAGATGTAGAACTCAATCTCTTTGTGTGTATACCCTGCTGCCCAGTGCAAGAATGCAAGGTTATCCCAGCCATCTCATCATAGGCCAACAAAGTCACAGGAGAAGGACAGCAGATTGTATAAAAGTGATGACGGTGGAGGTCAAGCTTAAACTACTTCGTTTGGACTGGATGTCTTGAATTTGTCTAACTTGCTTTAACATACTTGCATGTTGATCTATATCTGTATTCACACCTGTAACACATGGTGTAATTCTGGTGGTATTTACAATGAGTATATCACCTTGTCAGCCACTATTATGGGTTCTGCTGATTTTCAACAAAAATAAACAAATGCAAATCTTGACATTGTTGCACTGCTCAGTGTATTTCCATTAAAATGCTATTTATAACTATCTCCCAGGAAGCACTGCAGGCATTTTCCATTTTTCTCCACCAAACATGCAAAAAAACATTGATTGAGAAGATAGAATTTTCCCCTTATTTTTTCTGTCAAAATATTAAAAAAAAGTAACTCATGTTTCAATGATTTTCTGTGTGTAGACATGATGGAAAAATTAATCATGTTCTTTCAAGAATAATGCTGTATTTTCCATCCATGTTGCACTGCTCAGTGTGTTTCCATTAAAATGCTATTTATAACTATCTCAGGAAGCATTGCAGACATTTTCCCGTTTTTCTCCACCAAACATCCAAAAAAACATCAATTGAGAAGATAGAATTTTCTTCTTATTTTTCCTGTCAAAACATTAAAAAAAGTAATTCATGTTTCAATGATTTTCTGTGTGTAGGACATGATGGAAAAATTAATCATGTTCCTTCAAGAATAATGCTGTATTTTCCATCTATTGTCTTTTAAATAGCAGCTTACAATAATGTTAATTTTCTTCTCTGTGTTCTCCAAATTACTATGTTTTTCATGTAAGCTGCTATTTAAAAGACAATAGATGGAAAATACAGCATTATTCTTGAAGGAACATGATTAATTTTTCCATCATGTCCTACACACAGAAAATCATTGAAACATGAATTACTTTTTTTTAATGTTTTGACAGGAAAAATAAGAAGAAAATTCTATCTTCTCAATTGATGTTTTTTTGGATGTTTGGTGGAGAAAAACGGGAAAATGTCTGCAATGCTTCCTGAGAGATAGTTATAAATAGCATTTTAATGGAAACACACTGAGCAGTGCAACATGGATGGAAAATACAGCATTATTCTTGAAAGAACATGATTAATTGTTCCATCATGTCTCACACACAGAAATCATTGAAACATGAGTTACTTTTTTTTAATATTTTGACAGAAAAAATAAGGGGCAAATTCTATCTTCTCAATCAATGTTTTTTGCATGTTTGGTGGAGAAAAATGGAAAAATGCCTGCAGTGCTTCCTGGGAGATAGTTATAAATAGCATTTTAATTGAAAAGACACTGAGCAGTGCAACAATGTCAAGATTTGCATTTGTTTATTTTTGTTGAAAATCAGCAGAACCCATAATAGTGGGCTGACAAGGTGATATACTCATTGTAAATACCACCAGAATTACACCATGTGTTACAGGTGTGAATACAGATATAGATCAACATGCAAGTATGTATTTAAAGCAAGTTAGACAAATTCAAGACATCCAGTCCAAACGAAGTAGTTTAAGCTTGACCTCCACCGTCATCACTTTTATACAATCTGCTGTCCTTCCTCCTGTGACTTTGTTGGCCTATGATGAGATGGCTGGGATAACCTTGCATTCTTGCACTGGCAGCAGGGTATACACACAAAGAGATTGAGTTCTACATCGTGATGCTCTTCTGATACAACAAGTTCATTTGCAGTGCAGAAAGGGTGGATGAACATTTTGCAACTTTGTTACCACCAGTGCCTTTGCCCACTCTGTTGTCATAAGCTGTGGCTTGCAGAGATGAATAGATCAAGGTTAGTATGTATCTAGACAAGCACCTAGCTGATGATGTCGAGCATTCTTGAGTGGCTTGGTGTAGGATTAGTAAAAAGAAGCTATCTCATCTCCTTCAACATCATCTTCATAGGTTCAATCACCCAGTACTCACCCAACAGCCCTTCCACCATAGAAACCCTGCATCAGTAGCAGAAAGTGTCATTTCTCAGTTACTTTGTACCAAATCTCCATCTCATAGTGTTTTCAAGCCACCAGTAGAGCCACATCTCCATGCCACTTGTCATATAAGGGTTTGGAACTCTCTTCAATGTGTACAGTATGTCTAACATGATAGCGAGGGTAAGGATGACATAATAGTATCCCTCCAGATCATAGACAATCTCACGGTGAATAACATCTGCACCTGGTTGTTGAGCTAGCATTATCTCGATTGCCATCCATGCATGAGTGTCCTATACACAAAATGTGATTAGCAGTGCAACAAGAGGCTGATAATTAATACTGACTGTTAGCTCATAGATGCCACCCTTGTCTGCAAAGCATCTCAAATCTTCATCAGTCATTGAAGACCTGTAGCCTGTAACATTGACTTGGAGACTTTGCACCACATCTTTTGGCTTAATGTGCACCTTGGGCACATAACAAGCAAGTTGCTTTGGTAGGTTGTTGTTTGGTACATCTTGAACAGAAGCACTCAGAATGTGTTTGTGAGTGTGGGAGGAGATTGGATGTGAAGAGGGCTGACCACTGGCAGTAGTGGAGGATGAAGGTTTCCTAATAGTAGCTTTAGCAATACTATTGCATACAGTAGTACCTTTGTATCTGCTGCGACCACATTCTCTATGTTTCTGTTTACCTGTCCTCTGTCCTCCACATGATGGCATAGATGAATTATATTGAGAAGTCGAAACAAGTGGAATGTCTGACCGCAATAGGACTATGGAAGTGGATGTCATGTCAAAAAGTAGGATAGGAGGACATTCAGGGGGAGTGTGAGGCAAAATGGAGGGAACACAAGCAAGCACAGGGGAGGTATGAATAGGCACAAGGAGGCGGCAATGATCTTGGATAGTATGTTGTTACAAGGGAGGCATTGAAGCAGCTGGTGCAGAAGGTTTAAAGATCTTTGACAGAAGCCTCACTTTTGATGAAATTGTGGTGAATCATATAGACCATGAAGAAAAGGCATGATCATATAGTAGGCCATATTGAATCCCATTATTATCGCCAAGCTCTATATTATCAATGGCTCTCAGTCTGATTGTGTTGGATGCATGAGGCCCATATTCCACATTGAGGTATCAGCTTGCATAATAAGCCACTTCTTCATGAACTCCCAAGATCTAATGGTTTGTAATGCCTCTGTGATGCACCATTGCAATAACATGACTTGATGAGCCACGGTCCCACACCTATGAAGGTTATTACTAATACACAGTACCATATCAATTATAACCAGTCCAAAAACTTTTGATTGTATAAATTGTCTATTGTCATGCATGATGGATGTCTCCAAACCCATCATACCTGTAGATATGCACCAAGTTGGCGGGTAACATGTGGTACTTTCAGATCTGGACAACCTATGTCTGCTGTCCAGCGACCTATGATTCCAATTTGGATTAGAAAGTAATAGATCAATATGACACATACCTTGATTATCCAGGTATCCTTTCTTCTTAAACTCGATGAGAACATTCTTTATATTTCAAATTTTAGTACAATGGTCGAGGTTTTTGCAGTGTTGGAAGATAACTTCATCTTGACATAAGTTATTGATAACTTGGTGCATTACTTCTTTGTTATTGTCACTCTGCATAGCCACAAATTCTTAGGATGGGTGAGTTGGAGGTTATAGAAATGCCCTAAGTTTGTGAGCCTGCTTAGCAACCGAGTTTTGGTATGCCTCATTAGTATCTGGAATGAAACCCCTTGATTGAATCTCAAAGAAGCCTGTAGACTGCTACAATATAAGTATAGAAAAGAGCAACTCACTATGTTATAACTTCTATGTTCCAAATGCCCAAAACATGGGCTGAAGAATAGTGGAGATGACACCATCAAATGGAAAGGTGAAGACAGATCATGAGGACAACTATGCAAACAAGGGTTATCAATGAAATTACAATCAAGTAGGTAATTACATGGCTTACTGAATCTTAATAGAAGCATTCAGACTCATGTTTGATACTTTTTCTGAACCAATTCTGAACCAGCATGCTTGAACCTATATAGCAGTACCATGTTTATGTGGCAAGAAAAGTCTTATAATCAAGGTGGATCAAACTGGTAACATATAATGAGTTCCATTGGTTGAAAGCTCTGATTAGTGCAGAGCCATGTGATAGTGAGCAACTTGCAATCACAACCCTAGACTAGGGGCAATGTTTGGGCATTCTGAGAAATTTGTTGTATTGTGATGGCTACTAAGTACTGACTTGCATGTTTCAGGTAAATATTAAATTACAAAAGAGCAGACTTTCTGAGGCAGACATCTGCACTAGCACCCTATTGCCTAATTAGGAAATGCCCACTCACTGCACACTACAATGAGCTCAACATTTAATATGTCTGATGTTTATCTATTGTCCAACAACAATGTACTGCTAACTGATTCCTCAGTAGTTACATTAGATATATATATTAAAATAAACTATGATATTTTATGATGTACAATGTATACTACACTACTATACTGATGTTAATGTCTGGTACCATAGTGTGGCAGGGACTTAGTGAAATCTCCCATTTTTGATGATAGAAGCAGTCATGTGATGTTGGATGAAGTTCGGTGGAAAAGCTTATATAATCAAAAATGCCAATAATTCAAGTCTCCTTACTCTCTTTTCTTTCTTCCTTTTCAATCCTTTTCTTTTCTCTTCCTTGTCCTTAGGTCAGGCTCCTGGATATTCAAGTTGGGATGTGTTGGTGTAGATGGAGCTTTGGGATTGGTGCAATAGTATGCATCTGCAGCAATACTGGGCTTCAGTTCAAACTCACATCGAGCTCAGTAATTGGGCTGCTTCTCAGAGGTTGGAAGACATGTACCAAAACCTCAAGCATTGGGTGTTCATTTATACCAGAGTTGCAGTTATGTGCAACAGATTGTCTCCATACCACCAGGCCTATTGAAGAAATTCTTTGGTTTTCATAACTGCAGAAGCCCTTCAACAGGCCCTATATAGCTGACTGTACTATGATCTTGGTAGTATAAGTATTTAGATGGTTTAATAGTTAT